ACTCACCCGCCCTGCGTCGCGCTGGAGATGCTCAGCGTGAAGATGGAGTTGGTGTAGCCGTCGCAGTTGCACGAGTCGGTGTGACGGCCGCCGTTGCCCGAGGCCCAGACAAAGATGGACCCCTTGCCTTTGCGACCCTGCCAAAGAAGAAGCGGAGGAGATAAGAAAAAAAGAAATTGCGCACGACGACGCGAGTTGTACAACAACAACAAAGTAGCACCGAGCAGTGGAGACCGACTGCCCCCGCACCACCCCACGCGCCGGCCTCGAAAGGGGGCGAATGGCTCGGAGCGGCATGGCCGCACAAAACGGGGTAAAAATCGTACACTTGTCGCAAGGATCTTTCTTGCCTGCGTTTTTCTTCCGTTTTTCCCTCACCACAGTCGCTATCGCGATGGGAGACTGCTGCTGGGCTGCAGCGGTAACACACACACGCCCCACCCCACGGCGCGCGCGCCCTACTGACCCGCTCGCCGCGCGGGCATCCCCCGACCGCCTGCCCTGCCGCCCCAACGGGGCCCCAACGGCAAACACAATTAGCCATGATTCAATTCGGCAGCGATGTGCATGAGCAGAGCGAAAACAATTATTAATCACGGGCACATGGGCGTGGAGCCTCCGGCGGCCCCCGGGCGGCCGGTAGTGGCGCCTGGCGCCCCCGCGCGGCCGCCGCGCCAACCTGGGGGGCAGCGGGCGGCCAGCGGGGGGCCGACACGTCCGGCGCCATCCTGGACACCGCCGTCTCGCTATGGCCACTCACAACAACAAGGTGCGAGCGCCGCGTAGTCCGAGTTTAGTTCGCGCACTCTGCTGCCCCAGCGAGAGAGCGTGAGGGAGAGAGAGAGAGAGAGAGAGATTGGGGGCAGGGGGGAGAGGGCGGGGTGAGGCGAGGCTCCAAACATGGCCCACTCCGTCCCAAGCAGTGCGCGCCCAACGAGGTTACAAAGTTTACGTTTCCTAACTTCAACTCGCAAACGGACGTCGGACGGAACGGGACAGACAGGCGAGGAGGTGGCCGGACCGGACAACAAGACGACAGACGGACACACGGGCCGTGGCGGACGGGCAGTAGGCGGGTGTCGGGGGTGCCTAGGCGTGCCTGGGGTCATGGCGAGGCTCTGGCCGCGGCGGTAGGCAGCGCAGCCGACTCCAAGGCGATTCTATTAACCCGCAATTCCACTGCTTCGGCAACGACATGCTGGGTGACCCAGCTCTACACGATGAAAAAATGTAATCGGGAAATATAATTCACGGAAACCTGGTGAAACAGTCCATTAAAACACTCTTTTCAAGAAAGTCAATACTTTACGAAAAATTCGTGGAGAAAAACCTTGCCATAAATCTTTGCCATTTTGGGGGAAATCATCGAAAAATCACAACTCTTCTTCGTTGTCAAAAATAAATTGATTAACTTCAGGAAGTATTACGATTGGTTCACAACTGTTACGAAAGCAAAATGCGTTATTTCCGACTACAAAAAAGGAGAGAAATGTGCCGATTTTACAGTTGCTTCGTATCGAGTAAGTCGAGTAAGTGTTGGGGAATCAAAAAACATTTTTAACAATGGAGGACCGACATCCACCTTCGTGGTAACCAGAACGGTAAGCTGAATTCACCGTAATCCGAATTCATAGTAATCCTTTTTAGCCGTCAAATTTTCGTCACCCTTTATTCCCCTACATTCCTGCCAACCTCATCCCCCCTCCCCCCACCTCCTTACACACACTTTCTGCCTTGCAGAGAGCCGCGCGTCCAGAGACTTACGCTCATTTGCACTTGCGCGTCTCAAAGGATGCCAAAACAAACCACAAACGCGCCAATAAAAGCGCGGCCGCTTAGGAACGAGCAGGTCGTTGCCATGGTGACAAGACGGTCTATAGATTACGAAGAGCTCTCTCTCTCGTCCCTTTTCATCCCCCTCCTCTTACCTCCGTCTACAGAGAGTACAGCGCGTGCCTGTGCTACGCAGAGCCACGACACGAACAGAATGAGAGGGAGCGGAGCAGAGAGGAGCTGCTGGGCGGCCTGGGCGGGAACGAAGGGAATAAAATCAAATCGTGGAAGGAAGAGGAAAGGGCTGTCAGAAAATTAGGTGGCGCAAACGGAACGCAAGCGCTTCCGACTAGCAAGCGCCCCTTCCTCTGTCTCCCCTTTCTCTCCCATCCCTGTCTCTCTCAGACACCTCTTCCTCTCTCTTTCTCTTTACTTCATCCCCTGATCTACATCTTGCTAGCTCTCTCGGTCTCCAACCCTCTCCCGGGGCGACGACGGGATGCGGTGAAGTCACCGAGGGGCTGAACGACACAGGCTGCGCAGCGGCGGAGGGCTGAGGGGATGGAAGGGGCGCGGGCGGGAGCCGTCTTCATACCGGCAAAGATATTTGTCACAATGATTTGCACCATCTGTCGTTCCCCTCGGATCTTGCAAAATTCAGCTCCTGGCGCGCGCGATGGGGTGGGGGGG